CCGCGGCCGCATTTCCCGGTCTGGCTGCTCCAGCTGCCGCCGTCAGAGCTGGAACCGCGCGTAGGGTCCGCCCCACCTCTCCCGATAGCCGTCGATTGAATTTTACTGAAGCGTGCACAGGTTAACCGCCACAGTGGTGTAAATGAACCGATGCCGGTTAGGGGAGCCGGATGCCTTCACACCAGATTTACTAATCTTCGGAGTCTTTAAGTGTGCTCCATCGTAACAACAGTCTTCCGACAAAAGATACAAGCTTAATTAAACTGAGTCAAATAGGTTTAAGCAGTTAAATAGAAACAACTTTTTAAAGTGCTTAAAAATCTGTTTGCTCTTTTTTCCCCTTTGTGTTTTAATCCTTTCAGTTATGTTGTTGTGTGTAGGTAAGAATATTTCCTGCTTCGGAATTTGCTGGCTGAAGCACGGTCGTATTTTTATGACGCTTACTAGTCGGAACATAAAATCAGATTTCTCTCTTTCATTTAAAGTTTGCATCTAACAGAAGAAAAACCTTGCAGACAAGCCCGATAGACTGTATGAAATAAGACGGCCTGTTTACTAGCAGTGGCCATGGGTCCTGCACGGCATCAGTCTCCCTTTAATTGATTTAATTTTTTCTGGACCCAAAAAAGAGTCACTTGGTCCACCTCGCCTGGCTTGTACAATGCACAGCTGTTACCTTGTGGCCGTGGTTGTGCAAAGGTGCGCACCGAGCCAGCAAGGTTAATAGCGTCGATCTCTTTTATTAGATCGAAAGATACAGATGGGGAACACCCACAAGTTCTTGGGCACTCAGCCTTTCTTTGGATGCTGTATGCAAATGTATGTACGTTTTCCTTTCCCTCCTGCCCATTCTGTGACTCCATCGTCTTGCTGAGGAGCTAGTGACTGCCATTTTGCTGTACTTCTCAGCTCAGACAAAATGGAGGCTTTGGAAGAATCAGTAACTGCCACAGCCCGTGCCTTCTAAAGTCAAAGATAATCGCCTTTTATAAAATGGGGATAATTTTGAGGGTAAAAAAAAATAATCGGCGTACCCCATCCTAAAAGGTGGAGTTTCCTTTTTTCCTGTAAACACATGGGTGCAGTTGTGTTAATTTCATTGCCAAAACGTAAATATTAATGCACCTTGCACTTTGATGTATTGCCATAAAAGACACTGAATTTCAAATCACCAACCCCACTGTGTGATACGGGGATGTAACTTAGCTATTCGTCTTTATTTGAAGCAGCCCTCTTCCTAAAAGCTCACTTAGGGAGATTCCCAGTTGCCATTAGAAAAGCAAAATACAATTAATCTAAATCATTCTAGCTTTATCTTAGAAAATTAATGATGGATGAAAGAGGGGGTTTATAAAGGTTTAATAAGAACTAGTCTGGAATACAGTATATATTCTAGAGCCTGTGATTATAGTGGTAATTTAGCAGATTGTATCACTGCCTATCTCTGCCAAAGGATGTTTCACACCATTTAAAATGCACAGTACTCCCTTCAGAGACAGGTTGTTCTGGAATAACTCAACATCCAAAGAAAAGCCGTGTTATTTCACTCCTCTCTTTATCGATTGCATGTGTGCGATTGCGTGTGTGTGTCGTCTGCTCTTCAGCAATAGCACTAAGTTTTCATGCTTGTTTCTGTGTTCATTTATCAGCCTTCTCACAGACAGGCAATACCAAAAATGGAAAGTCATGAAATCTATTCAGAATAGGGTTTAAGTGCTGAAACCAGACAGCCTGTATAAAACAAAGCATGAGTTGGCCCTTCCTCTAAAAGGTGAATTAAAATAAATTTGGTTTTGAGCAAGTTTTCCAAACTCTGAGAGCTCCTTTTTGTTCCTCTTTTTGAAGAGGAACAAAACAGTGAGATAAGGACAAATCTTAGTGTTTTTTTTAATCTGGCAAAAGTTATTTGGGAATCTCTAGACCAAAGGGATTGAGATTTCAATAAATTGCATGCCTGTGATGTTTCCAAGACTAAGGATGCAAGTCTCCCAGTGTGCAGAAGCATGAGCCAAGCTGATCTGTAGTTAAATTAAAGAATTTGCTGTATTTAAATTCACGCAGTGTATGATCTGACATTCCCTTTGACTTTACTGCCTGCCTCTCTCTCTTACAGGCTGTTTGCTGCTAAGTGCAGCGGCTGCATGGAAAAGATCGCCCCAACAGAATTCGTGATGAGAGCCCTGGAGTGTGTTTACCACTTAAGCTGCTTCTGCTGCTGCGTTTGCGAACGACAGCTGAGGAAAGGGGATGAATTTGTTCTCAAGGAAGGGCAATTGCTCTGCAAAAGTGACTATGAAAAAGAGAAAGACTTGCTGAGCTCGGTCAGCCCAGACGACTCAGACTCAGGTGAGCTTTTCCCGCATCTGCTCCAACTGGAAAAGCCGCAAGGGTTTGTAGAGCTTTCTTATAGAAAAGTATATCCATTTACACATCCACTTTATCCATATGCACATGCCACCCATGCAAATTAGCAGGCACAGCTTAAAACCCCCCCTACTTTCAGTCTGTTCTCCCTAAATTGACTCCCTTCCTTAACTTGCTGCTTAGTAAAGGATGACAAAATCTTTTTGTTTTCATCAAAGTATTTTTCTATAAGATCACAAAATGTGAGTCAGACTGACTTCAGTTACCTGAGACTCATTCAAACTGTGCTGTTTTCCATAGGCTTTCTTCCATCCAGTTAGCATATTTTTCAGGGGATCTTCTGCACATACACTTTCAGCACTGAGCTAGGAAAACAGGCAAAATAGTTATACAGTTTTCAAGAGTATTCTCTCTGCCAATCTCAAATGGTAACTTTAAGAAAAACTACAAGTACAATACAGAAGTACTAAGGAGAATCTGAAAGAAACCGAGAAGTGGGTTTGTGCTCCAGCAATAGCATGTACAGCGCAGGAAGCCAGGGCAGCTGCCCGCTTGATGAGGCTGCCTGCACATCCACTCCCGTGAAGCCAGGCAAGAGGGCTCACACAAAACCAGAAATAAAAAACAGTAACTTGAGTGAGGAGTTTAGTGGAGTCTGTCTCTGGAGGCTTTCAGGCCAGGTACAATGCTTGGCTCTCCCGAGTTCCATCCTGACTTCTCCCTGGTGGTATGTCGTTTCTGTGCTACTAGGGCTCTAGTTTCTGATCGTCTCTGTTCTGGTGTCAGCCTAGGACATCCGCTGTGTGTTGACCCAAGGATAGCTGCGCTATGGCTCGTATGCTAAGTATAGTACAGAAGTGAGGTATGCAAAGTTTGCCTGCTACAGATCTCCGTGAGTGTCCTTGAGGTCCTGCACTGTTCCTGATGAATGCAAACTGTTTTGAATCAAGGGACAGCAGGCCCGATGTCTTACTAAAATGCACGACTAATCTGCAGTGTGACCTTTCTCTTCAGAGGGACCTGGGGTTTGAACAGTGTGATTGCAAGAGTCAGCAGCCTTTGGCCTGGGAGTTAAGGCAGAGGGACTTCGTATTGTGACCAGAGCTTTTGCCTTCTCCTGAAGAAGACAGTGGAGCCCTCACACCTGATAGCAGCTGATGGGTGTCTTCCCTGCGCTCTTCACGGTGATGGAGAGACAGATACTTCCTTTTCTCCACCCATTTCCTAGGGAAGGTTTTAAAAGAGAGTGAGCAAAATCTGCTTGCTGTCTGTCCAGGACTGGGAACACAGCACCACACGGCACAAATAGTTCACACACTGGATTTGGGTTCTCCAGTCCAAAACCCAGGGGGTCTGGCAGTCGTTACAGTGAGGACTGGCTTTCAGGCTCACAGGCAGTTCGAGGAGAGATGGGATGCCTCCTTCCCGTGCTGTGTGCAGTCAAGGAGACTGGAAACCTCCTGCTGCCCGTGCGCCCTGGCTGATCACAAGACTAGAGACAGCGTGTACGTAAATTGCTGCCAGCCAACATAATTGTGCACTTGTTTCCCAAGAAAATGTCTTAAGAAAATCAACAATTACCATTCCATTAAGCGTACAAATGACATGAATCTTTGCCTCTGGTTTATGGGAAAATGCATTATTCCAATTTAGCTAGGAGCAGTAATTATCCTTAATCTCTAATCTGAGAGCCATATTCTCCACATTGCTGAAATTTATATTTTCATGTCAGGAATGCTGCAAGACGAAGGTCACTGCTGACTCAGCGGGATGTGCAGGACCGGGACCTTTCTTGGAGCAGCATGTTATTTATTACCGTACTGTATTTGCAGGACCTTGAGTGCTCTGCTCTGTAAACCTCATGTCGCAGGGCTTGGACTCTGTGAATTTGCCTGAGGCATGCGAGTTTCCTACTTGCCCTTCAGCGCATCGTTCTCATTGCCAACTTCAGCACCCTGCTGCCTGCCTGTCTGTGTCCAGACAAACCCCTTCCGAAAAGCTGAGTGAGTGGGGCTGCCCCCACGCTGCAGCGATGGGTGTGGGGATCCTCCTCCCCTGCCTTCCTCACTCGCTGCGCAGGCTCCGCCAGCTGTGCTTGGCATCTGCTTTGGGCTCTCCGTCAGCACCGTATTTTGTATTTGTGATCGGCAGTAAGCTACCGCAGCGGCACAGAACAACCTTGCTTTCCATTTCATTTCCCCTTGGCACAAGGGGTAGTTTCTTACTCCTGGAGATGCTTTTTTCCCCTCATTATTCTCTGTTAGCCAAACCCAAACCTGAAAAACAAGCTGACAAATTAAGTGGGATGTTTTGTCTCCCATTGTCTAATACATAGAAAACACAGATCTCCCAGATGCCTGTGTGAGAGCAAATGATTTCACGTAGCCCTGGCTGAGAATGTGTGCTTCTCCAATCATATATTTATCCACTGGACACAAAAGTAACTCTCCAATGAGCAATATTAATCCTCACAAACCTTGCTTTAGAAATGGCGCGCTGGAAAGTTAATAATGTCATGGTTATTAAAATGACTGAACTTCTCTTCAATCATTAGGCAAAAGATGCTTATTAAAGTAAAAGGTGATTAGATTGCTAGGTGCATAATAATCAGACCCTGAAATGAATTAAAGTCTAAATTGTTAATTCCCCAAATGTAATCTTTGAGTATATAAAAATTGCAGTGTGTTTCTTCATGTTGAAGTCCCTGTAATAGTGTATTAATGTTTTCTGGAAGAAAAATCAGTAGTCTGGTGAAATAAAATATGCTGAGTTGAAAAGTTGTTTTTCACAACGAAATTTGTACTTACTTTTCAACCTTTGCCACTGTGATTGGGATTTCCAAGTACAATGTGCTAACACACTTAATTACCAGATTATCTAAGTATTTGGAATTTAACTGTGGAAAATACAAATAATCTATTTGGTCTACACAAGCACATATATATTTGTATGTATTTACCAAGAAAGAGAAATTTGTGCATGCACTTACAGACGTATTGAAATACACAGAGAAAGAATACTGATGTTTTCTGTGGGATGCAGAAATGACATGGCAAAGATTGTATTTGATATTACCTCTGGAGCTTCAAAATATCTGGAACAATAACTGGAATCTAAACTATATTTAGCTAAACAGACTTTGAGATATTTTTGTGATACTTGCATTTACACTGTTTTGCTGCCATAGCAGTGTGGGCAGTAGTGCCTGCCTGCAGCTAATGCTTTGGGAGAAGATGGGGCTCCGCTGTGAAGGGAAGGGTGTGTGTCAGTTCGTGTGGCTGCAGCAGGGGACCAAGTGATGCTGGAAGGGCACAAAGTCTCTCTGTGCTCGACTCTTGGAACTATTGGAGCATATTCTGAATTTCCATCCCCTGACCAGTTCCATGTCCTCGACTAAAAATTCAACACATTTTAATGCTGTTGTGGCATTTGATTTAGGCAGTGCACACAAGTCTAAGATAGCCTCTTCCTGCCTGCAGTTCCTTTAGATATTCAAATAAACATAGGATAATAGTTGAACCCGTTGACTAGTTTGGCAGCTAAAGAGCAGTTCTCAAACACCCTGTTATCTTGGTGGAACAAGCACAATTTTATGTCCTGTTTATTTTTCACCAGTTAAAAGCGATGATGAAGACGGAGATGTTAAGCCCACCAAAGGACAAGTAACCCAAGGAAAAGGAAGCGATGATGGCAAAGACCCAAGAAGACCTAAACGGCCGAGGACAATACTGACTACACAGCAGAGACGAGCATTCAAAGCATCCTTTGAAGTGTCTTCCAAGCCCTGTAGGAAGGTAGGTGCTTCATCAGGGACCTGAAGTCAGCTCTGACACCAGGCCATGGGGGCGGTGGGGTCAGGCCACAGCTCCAGATGCCCTCCGCCCCTTCCCGGGGCAGCGGCAGGTGCCTTGCAGCAAATACAGAAACCAGGCCGGCGTATGCGATGCTCACCCAAATACCGTTTCAGCCTGGAGCTATCAGCAGCTTAGGACCAGCTCATTGTTATTTCTGGATATTCACCCACGGTGTGCAGACGGTGAGCAGAGCAGCTCTGTGACCGATTCGTGCTGAACAGCAATATTTGGTTCTTATAAGCCATGAAGTAGTCCTTGACTATCAGAGCGCAGGTAAACGCGTGGCTTTTGCCCTTCTCCTTCCCACCACAGAGGGAGTTGCTATCTAGTGAGATGGGTGCTCAGCTTTGCTCCTGCTACTTGTCCTTACAGTCTTGCTTTTTTATGACACTTAACCCCTCTGTCGATCTTTTTTATGGCAGCTAGGGAAAGGTAAAATGTACTGCTTCACTGATGAAGCTGGTGAAAATCAAATCCTTGTGAAAAGCAACCCAGATAACTGTTTCTTCCTAAGTTTGATTGGAAAAAAAATGGAGGTGCACCCTGTAAGCTGTCATTATTGCAAAAATTGACATTCTCCTGCTGATGTACAAAGTATGTCTTTTGGGCCAGTGCAATGTGCCTTTTTGCCGTTTTAAAGTATGAAGTTGTACTTCAACAATATAAAAAATGTTCATAGCCAAATTTGTATCTTTTTGCACAGAACTATTTTACACAGCTCAGACTATTTTTTCAGTACTGGTAGTGACATGAAGGGCAGAACTTGAACAAACTATGAAAAATATGAGTAGTTTTTAAAAGTAGTTCTGTAGATGCAGTTTTTGTTGTAAGTACAGGCATATTCCTCCCCACGTAACTGATTTTTTTTTTTTAATATTAAAAATTACATCATTAAACATTTCCTCCTATAGGTCAGAGAAACGCTAGCAGCTGAAACAGGACTCAGTGTGCGAGTTGTCCAGGTCTGGTTTCAAAACCAAAGAGCAAAGGTAGGTTGTTTGTCAAGTTCTCAAAAGTAAAACACAGATTGTCCTCCAGAACAGATTTCTCCCTCCCCCTAGATGTAGTACGTACCACAGAGATCCCAGGGACTGAACTGTACACATTTTGCATACGCTGCTGTCTACATCCATACAAGAAAGGCAACTTTCAAACACAGACTTTAAGTTCATGTGCTCAAAGCGACATGAGGTTGGGAGTAAATTTTGCATGCAATTATGAACTGGAAACTGAAATGTTTAAGCTTAGAAATGAAACTGAACCCACAGTGGTGTGTGCATGAATATAAATAGTCTGTCTGAATTGATTCGATGTTTGCAGAGGGTTTTGTAAGGAAACAAAATTGTTGCATTCAGAGCCATGAGATTGTTCTGTTCTTCCTCTCTTATTCAGATGAAAAAACTGGCACGAAGGCATCAGCAGCAGCAAGAGCAACAAAACTCACAGCGACTAGGGCAAGGTAGGGGATTTGTGATGAAGGCAAAGTAAGGGGAAAAGAATCTGCAAGGTTTCTTGAAGTGCTGTTCTTCGTTCCTAAGCAGTGACTCTGCCCTCCTGTTTGCTTTGCAGAAGTAATGTCCAACCGAATGGAAGGGATGATGACATCTTACACACCACTTGCACCACCACAGCAGCAGATTGTAGCAATGGATCAAAGCAGTTATGGCACAGACCCCTTTCAGCAGGGTCTTACCCCTCCACAAATGCCAGGCGACCACATGAACCCTTATGGTAAGGCATGCATCATTCTGCCGCATCAGAAATAGCAGGGTTCCTATGCTGGTTGACACACCGCAGGTTCAGTAGAGCTACTTGCTTTCATAATATTTTTTCTGGGATTTGTACCAGGGCATTCGTACCAGTCAGTTTTGCATGTATATTTTCATGTACACATAAGGGGTAGAAGAGAGCTCATCCCAGGCTCTGGACACCCTTCAGAACTATTTCATAGTATAATTCTTATAAATGATAAACCAAGCAACATGACCTCTCCATTTCCACTTTTTTAAACCACTATCCAAGACACTGAAAAATAAACAGTACAAAATTCTAGCTCCCTCACAAGTTTCTCCTTTTTCTTAGAAGCTTTCGGAAAAAAGTGCCTTCAAAAGTGGTCTGGTAAAGATATGTAATATGATCATTCCAAAATGAATAAGCACCCCTCTAAGATCCCTCAGATTGGATGCATGGATTTGTTAAAGAACAGCTCTTGAGCTACTAAGAGATGTGTCACCACAGGACTTTTTTCCTGCGTAATTTTATTGTCTGCCCAAAATCAAGGTGATGGTTTGCTTTCATGGTTTCCTGACTGCACACCATCAAGTGGATAGGTACATGAAACGCATCACAAGCATTAAATGCCTAATAATTGATTCTGGACGATTGCAGTGTGGCATTTAAATAAAATCTAAGAGCATTTCTCAGACTCTGATTGTTGGCCTTGCTGTAGCCCACAAGGGCCTGTTACGTCAGACTCATTTCTGCCGACTGGGAGCCTTTCATTGTAGAGGTCCACATGCATATCACTTTCATGAGCACAGCATGCACAGGCCAACAAGAAATCTGCTTTGGGTCTGTGTTATTACTTTTCCCACTGAGACAAGTCCACGGTACACTCCAGGCACTTTGGTAAATCCTGTAAGGAGCTGAGGACATCTGAAGTGCAAATAAGCGTTAGATGGCTTGTGATTTTGTGGCTAACAATTTGCGTGGCTTTCTATGCAAAACTCTTTGAGAGGCAGGTTCTGTGCTTTAAAACCAGTGCAGGAGATAGCACAAAGCTATTTCAAAGGAGTGCATGAGGAAAAAGAATTGGACTGACACTTTCTTAGTGCTCACAGGACTTGAGCTAGAGCTCTTCCTGGTGCCTTGAGAGTTGAAGTAAGCTGAAATCTAAGTTGCGAAGGGAAATAAAAGGCGCTGTTCCAAACCATTCCAAAAAAGAGTGGAATTTTCTGAAATTAAAGCATGTTTACAACTGTTGCTCACTTGAGGCCAGGAAAGCTGGGTCTCCTCTTGGGTCCTGTCGCATTTGTAGATCTGTCTTTTACCGTGTGTGTAAATGAAGATCATTACCGGTTACAGCTCTCGGACCTCTTCCCCCTGTGGCGGGCGTTTGGTGTCTGGTCCCACCTTCCTCGGTGGCCCCGGTGCCCCTGCGAATGCCTGATCCCAGTTCATGGAGAGCTGGGGACCCGTCCGTCCCCGGCACCGTTTGCTCACGTCGTCAGCCAAGACTCTCCCTTGTGCTGCTGACTGAAGTATAAATTAAATCCTGGCAGATTTGAGTGGCACTGCTGCCAGTTGAACTCTGCCAGTTGGTTGCTAGCCTTCCTCTTTGTAGGTCAGACCCTTAGAGCAAAATTACGTTAACGTGTACAAACAAACCCAGGAGCGTTCCCTTTTGCTGCAGTGTGCAACATATTAGCATCCATGTGTACTGTGTCCCTCTCTGGCTGCGCAGAATCCAGCTTAACATATACGTTTCATTTGCAGGAAACGACTCCATTTTTCATGATATCGACAGTGATACCTCTTTAACTAGCTTGAGCGACTGTTTTCTTGCCTCTTCTGAAGTTAACTCCATGCAGGCTAGAGTAGGAAACCCCATTGACAGGCTGTACTCTATGCAGAGCTCCTATTTCGCCTCATGAAAATAAAGGAAAACAAACAGCCGGCGTATATTTAGCCAGTGACTTTTCCCAGTGCAGACTCTACAGCCATATGTTGCCCAGCTCTTCCTTCACAGTGACTCCTGCTGCCTCTGGACTGCAAAGAGCATTTTTAGGAAGACTGTATCTGTGTGCATATATGTGTGTATGTATGTATATATATATTAATACCTACCTACCTACATACATACATATATATATATATATATAAACAAAACGCATCCACCAGTCCCATACCCTTGATTCCCAGCTTGCGCCAGACCACGAGACAAGCACGGAAGGAACAGAAGACCCTGCTCGTCAGTCAGCCTTTGGTTTGGTTTGAGTTCATCGTCATAAAGGAAACGGATTTTGCGGAAAGCTAGACCTTTTCCTCCTTTCTCTCCTCCTTTCTTTTGGATGTTTAAACTTTTTTTTTTTTTTTAAAGCTACTGATACTGACATCAGTCGACCATATGACAAATAAATCAAAGAAACTGGAGATTCCTCCCTTTTCTTACTGCATGATTCATACTACGTTGTGGATAAATTGCCATTTGAACTGTGAGAAGTTAATGTAAATGTGACGTTCAACATTTGTTTCCTTTCTACACTTTTTCTACATAACCTTGATCTGCTCATTAGTTTATAGCCCTTATGCATATGATACGGAGGAAACTGGTTAACAGTAATTTTTGTGGAGAAAGCCAGTGATTTCATAGTAAGAAAGGTCTATGACCCTGGAGTTGAGATGCATGTTAGGGACAGAGGCATTTAGGTTAGTATTGATTTTAAATAATTAAAACTAAAGGTGCTTACAAGACAGAGTTTTATTTAATTTTTTTTGAAGTGTGAGAATAAAACATTTACATTTGTTTGTAAGTATTGCAGTGCCAAATTTCAAGTCTAGACCATGATTGGCAAACATGTGTTGTTCATTCTGTTCTGTTTATTTATGTTTTGCATAAGGCATAAACGTGCTATGCTCCATTGTCCATCTGGAATAATTAAGCACTCCTTTAGTTAATTATCTTGCCTCAGCAAGAATCTATGATATACAGTTCTAGCCTGAACCATCAGAAGTCCTGAAATGAGCACTAATGGGGGGGGGGGGGCAGGGAGTATGAAAGAGATCACAATGGGAGGTTTAGATGTGTTGAGCTGGAGGTCTAACCCAAGTCCTGCAGGTTTCACACTGCTGGGACTCCTGTATTTACAATAAATACTCCAACTTGCCTATTAGTGTGAATGTAAGAAGAACAAGTATACAAATTAAAGGGAATATCCCAGCTGAAGTCTGAATGTCTCAGATGCTGAAGTCTGAATGTCTCAGATACTGAATTTTTGAGCACGTCATATAGGTTTTTGTAGGGCATAAAATATCATAAATAATAATAGTATAGTTATAAATATTGCCTGGTGATAATTATAATGTGGAGAGGCAGACAAGTATGGTCATGGCTTTTAGTGGAGAAAACTTCATGGGGAAAATTTGCCAGGGTAATATCAGTAATTATAGGGTGTGTTCAAAATAGAGCTCATGAGGAAAGATTGGCAGGATAGGCACTTTCTTAAATAAATACCTTTAATATATTGACCATAATAGCCGAAAACAAGTCTAGAGCGTTGGTTAATCCAACTCCTCCAGGCTGAGGACTGGTACCAGGCCAGTGCTGCAGAGTCTCCCATGGGGCTTAGCACCTTCTTCAGGAGCACAGGACCCTCTGGGACTTCCATCGCGGTCGGGGGGAGGCCAGAGCAGGGCCCCCGCA